TATGGTGCTGCCAAAAAAAAATGTTATCTGCAAATAGCAATAATAGAATAACTCCCTGCAGGGTGGATTTTCAGCAAAGGATTAGCAAAGAAGACAGTAGAGGGTTGTGTACTGGCTATAAGCGCAGGCCCTGGATGGCTCAGACACCTGTTACCTGTGTGGCCTTGAGCTACCCCTAAACTAACCTCCTCTCAGCCTTGGTTTCCTCATCTGTAAATTGGAAACAATGGGGAAAAATAAAAAGGAAATAATGGGATCCACCTCAGAGGGCTGCTGTGAGGATTAAATAAAATAATACATAATAAGTGTTCTATACAAGTTTTAATGAGCAGAAAGCACTTAGAACATAAAGCCTAGCACGTAATATGATATTTCATAGACAGTAACTAACATCACACAAGTTGTAAGTAGGATGATATCCTAAGTATATACATGCTTCAAAGAAAGGCTGAACACATTTCCGAAAACAATGCATGATTTGGACACTCTTGAAGCAAAGAGCTCACACTGTAATAGATCTTGTGAAAGTCACTCACTTGTGTCCGACTCTTTGCGACCCCATAGACTGTAGCCTGTCAGGCTCCTCTGTTCATGAAATTCTCCAGGCCAGAATACTGGAGTGGGTAGCTGTTCCCTTCTCCAGGGATTGTCCCAACCCAGGAATTGAACCCAGGTTTCCCACATTGCAGGCGGATTCTTTACCAACTGAGCCACAGGGGAGCCCTAATAGATCTTGGGATAGGGCTTACGCCAGCTATTATCAACAAAGGTCCCTCTATCAAATCTCTCAGCACCCTTGTTCACATTAGCTGGTGTCCATGACACCACTGCATACATATACACAACTGACATCTCCAAGGAGGGCAGCTCGCAAAAACAGTGGCATCTATTCCCCACGGTGTCTTTTCCCTAAGGTTTTCTTTAATGAGGGTGTCCAAACTGCAAAAAGAATATACAGGAGAGGCAGAGAGAAGCTCACATGATTAGAAGAGAACCACGTGTTTTTGTAAATATTTATTGAGCTTCTACTATGAGTGAGGAACCATGTCTCTCTTTCATGTCTCAACTTCACAGTAACTCTATAAACATGATTTTGCTCTTTTAAAATAAACTTTCATCTTACCTACAAGTGTACAGAGCTAACATTTATGAACTGTCCTTTGAGGAACACGGTGGGCACCATTGCATTAGACCTGACCAGAGTGGATACAAATGAAAACGGAATCATTTCAAAGAGTTGGTGTGGTTCCCTTGAGACTGACAGTGTGGGCAAGGGAAGCATGGTCTATATAAGGCAGGAATCTGTGATCATACTCAGCCAGAAGCACAAGCTTCTTGGCATGGCCATCAGTGTCCTCCAATCTGGCTCCTTCTTCATCTCTCTCTGCTCTCTAAGCCGCCATCACCTCATCCTGTGTATAAAACCAAATCTCCCTGCCTCGGCTGCTCCTCTACACGGCATGCGCTGTACCCAAAGGGTTGTTGGGAGAATCAAATCCTTGGCTGTATGTGACGCACCCAGAAGAGTGCCTGGCAGAGGGGAAGGGCTGCGGAAGGATTCATCATAGTTGTTCATTATTACTGTCACTATTGGTTGCTGTTGTTAAGTGTCTGTTAATAGTGAAAAGTGGAAGAAGAAAGGGGATTGTGCCCTGAAGCCAAGCGAATGCTGAATTCCCTCACTGGCTCGGGGCCACTCTGCTGAACAGCCCAGTGGCGGAGCCCCTCACCACTTACTCGCAAAGCAGACAGACCTTTCACTCTGGGTGGTACTCACGTCCTTGTTTCTCGCCTGGGCTGCCTGACCCCTGCCAGAGCCAGCTGGCTGGCGACTCCACAGCCTGCATGACCTACAAAGGACACTGCAGTTCAGTTCCTTGCAACCCAGCCCCCAGCAGGGCTCCTGCTCCTAGCACATCAGTGCTGAGCATTAGAGGCGAACTCTCCCAACAGCACCCCTGTAACAGAGGAGGAAACAAGCCCATACCGTAATTATCGTTTAAACCTGGAAGGAACTTGAAAGTTTTCCTAGCCTGCCACTTTTCGAACTCCACATTCTATGGTGTGAAGATGAGATGTCAGCTCTGTGGTTAAGTCATCCATTCACTCATTTATGGATCACCCACCACCTGCTGGGCATCAGGGATACAAGTCAGAAACCACTCCTGCCCTCAGGACCTCACAGGCAAACAGGGAAGCGTGATAGTAGGTAAATAATCACACCTCTAATAGTAAAGTCCTGTTGGGAGTAAACTATGTTAAAACATCCTAGAATGAGCATCTCCACGTACACACCAGTATGCTTTCTGAGCAGGAGAACAGGCAAAGTAGGGGCTGGAGGAGACAGTAACAGGTAGCACCTCGGAAACTGTTCACCCCATCGTGTTCACCTGCACGAGGGCCTCACACAGAGTAAAATTACCATCATGTGGCTGCAGCAGCAGAGAGACTGGGAACCACGGACCTAGCTGGACCCACTCCCATTTGACAGACAGGCAAACTGAGGCTTAAAGAATTTAAGTCACTTGCCAAAGTCACACAGTAGATAAACGGAAGATGCTTAAGGTTTGGTAGTGGCTCACACAGGCTTCCAAAAAAGTTCACATCCCACAGTGTGGCACACGATCTGACCCCTGCCCACCCATCCTGCCTCCTCTCTCACCATTCTGCCACCCACTCTGTGACCCAGCCCTATCGAATTAAGTGTGAAGTCCCAAAGGCAGTGCTGCTCTATCTGTCCCACTCCCTCTGCCAGGGATCCAAAGTCAACGATCCCTAATAACAATAATAAATAATAATAAATAATTCCCAGAACTCAGCTCAGGGCTCTCTCCTCCAGGACATGGCCCTGACATGATGCTCCTCTACCTCCTAGAGCAGGTACACCTTTACACAGACACAGAAACACTCATCACGTAAGGTGTTCATCCATTCAACACATATTTATTGAGCACCTTCTGTGTGCCAAGCACCTGAGGAAACAGCAGTACATAAAACAAGGCCCTTGCCCTCATGGAGCTTACATTCTAGTGAGGGAAACAGACAATAACCAATACAAATTCCAGTGTCACCAGAGTTCAGTGCTATGAAAAAACCAATAAAGAAGAGCAAGCATCCGCTGGAGGGCGGGGGGAGCTACAGGTGAAGGCCTCTGAGGGGCTGGCATTTGATCAGAGATCGGAAGTGATAGAGGAAGCCATGCCAACAGCTGGGAAAGGAGCATTTCAGGAGCAGCAGCAGAGGCCCTGTAACTACCGCAGTGATTACTTACTTGGGTCTTATCGCTTACTGAACTTGGAAGTCCTTGAAGGCAAGGGTTACATCTTAAGCACCTTTGCTTCACAGGGCCCAGCATCCACAGTGTACACTTACACAATGAGTGACTGAAGCTGGACCAGCATGTGTGGCTGCCGATTTCTGAGTCTGGATGTCTCCATCTGTTGAGAGCTGGCCAGTTTTGTGTCTCTCTCCCCGACCCTCGCCCCAGGGCTAAGCTAAGTACAGGCCATGCTTGGGCCAATCAGCCTGCCTTCATTCTGTGGCCTGGTCTCAGTCCCTGGATCTCCCTTCATCAGGACTATGGTACTGACAAGCTCTCCATGTCTATCTCCTTCTGGTCCTCATATCTCACACCTTGACCTAGGCCCCTGTCCCAAAACCCAGACACCTAGTACTGGGAGCCTCCCTCAGTTTCTCCAGGTTTCATGGGCATAAAAGCCCTCCCCTGATCCCCAAGCCCCAAGGCTGGTGGGGGGCGGGGGTGGTCCTGACCCCTGGAATCAGACTAGTCAATGGCTAATCCCTCCCTATCCGGAAATCTGCCCTGCCTGACTCTCAACTCCCTTCCAAACCACGTGACTCCTACTGCTGGGACATCAACCCTCTGACCTCATTAATCCTAATTAATGTGGCCATCTCTCTGCATGTTCCAGCTTCATTATACCACTCCTCAATGTCTTCTCTAGCCAAGGCCCAGGGCTGCTAAGGACCCACATCCTCGAGTCGCCTATTACAGATTCTGTTCCATCAGCAGACCACATGGGTCCAAGCCTCCAGGTTCCACTACCCTAAACCACATCCTGACACTCCCAAAAGCACATTAAATAACATTAGGCACTGCAAATAAAGTCGCATGGCTTTATCCACTCAGTCAACTACAACAGATTATCTCTGGATGTCACTGGTGCTTCATCCCAACCCCTTCCAGATCTAAAATAAGTTCAAGGACAAATAACCCATTCCTTCACTCACCCTTTTGCCCACCAGCTCCTGATGCCTGTTTATATGCCAAGCCTTGGGACATAAAACCCAGCACCTACACTGTTGTCAATAATACTGACAGTGATGTGATGGTGATGGTGGAAAAGAGAGAAGAGTGGGTGGTAAGATGAGTTCCCATTTACTGCAGACTTGGGTTATATTATAATACACAGTGAGTCTTCTAATACTAGGAAAAGTATGAGATAGGTATATTTAGCCTGACTTTACAGGGGAAGAAGTAGGCTAAAGAAGTGAGGCAAGTTGCTCAAGGTCACACAGCTAAGTGACTGGATGCTGACCCTAGTCTATCTGCCTCCAAAGTACAAACGGTTCAGCCTCCGCAAGGGGCCACCCAGTGAATGCTAAACAAATAAAACTTAGGGAAGAAATGAAAGAGAGAGGGGATCGAGGGCTTCAGGGACTCACAAGCTGCTGGAGGAGACAGACATATAAACAAATATCTACAATGTGGGGGAGGCGAGTGCTGATGGCTGGAGATCATGGAGCCAAGGGTAGCTGCAGGGGAGCTAGAAGGAAGGACAAACTAACTCGACCTGGAGGGATCTAGAGCAGTCTTGAGGAAGTGACTTGGGGGCTAGTCTTTGAAGGAGAAGCAGTTAGAGGCTGCCAAGCGTGGCGCACAGCAGGAGCTTGGCCCTGGGACCTGGTCTGAGCCAGCAGGCTCCTCTGAGGTCTTCCAGTCCACCCCCCTGTGCCCACGCGGCCGGGCCGGGCCTCACCTCCTTCCACCTGAGCTGGCGGATGCTGATCTTCAGGGCGTCCAGGGAGGTCCTGGCCTTGGAGCTGTCCACGGTGACCGGCCGCAGAGAGCAGTACTCGTCGGGCTGGCCCGAGCTCCGCTTGCAGCTGCGGCCCTTGATCCTAGACTTCCCGTGCGGGCAGAGACCAGACGCCGGCTCCGGCTTCGCCAGGGACACGGGCAGCGTGGGCGGCGGCCGCGGGGGAATGCGAGCGTCACCTTCCTCGGCCGCGCAGGGTGTCGCCGGGACCGGCTCCTTGGGCTGCTCCTCCCCCGCCTTGCGCTCCGGTTCCCCGGCCGCGCCCGGGTCCACGCGGACCTGCTCCTTCACCGCCTGCGCTTTGGTCGCGGCCACGGCCTCCGCCTCCCACCAGGCCGCCAACTCCCTCTCGGGACTGCCCCGCAGCATGGCCCTCAGGGCTGGTGCCAACGCCAGTGACGGAACCGCCGCCGCCGCCGCTCCGCCGCCCCGGCCCCCGACCAAACTGCCGTCGCTGCCGTCGCTGCCGCGCGCTCCCCTCCCGAGCCGGTTGCCATGATCGCTCAGGCTCCGGTTGACAAGGGCAGTCGCTCACTGGACGGGGCCCGAGAAGGGACAATCGCCGTCACAGCCCCGGCGACCTCATAGGCGAGGCTGCTCACGTGGTCAGGCCTGTCACAGAGGCGGCGGTGGACATCTTGGAAGAGGGCGGAAGCGGCCTTGGCTCGCCCCCTCGGAGAACACGTTGGGTAGCTGAGCTCGCAGAACTTAGAGCCGACCGGCTGGAGATGAGCTTGAGGGTGGAACAGCTATCGGAGCTTGCTGGGCTCCGGGACTGGGTCGGAGAGACGATAATTTCAAACAGGAAACCCACTTTCCTCCACCCCACACGCACTCACTGGGATATCTCCTGGTACGATGGAGGAGGCACAACCTCACCCATTCTAAGCACTTCCACCCTCAGAAAGAATCTCAGCCTGATGGTGGAGATAACAAGTCCAGGCCCTCAAAGAGCAGCTACTCGTTTGAGGAAATCGCTTTCTCGTTCTGGGAGAGCCCCCAGACTGAGAGGGGGGGATACCTTTCCCTGTTCTCAGGGAGCTCGCAATGGAATGGGGAGGCCATGGGGAAACCTGCATATTCGCGGTTTAGTTGAGGACATCAGCCAACTCCTTTTCATATTATATCATTAAAAAAGAAATTTGGTATCAATGAAATACACATAAAATGTGTCATTTTAACCATTTTTTTTTAGGTATAGCCAAGGGCGTTAACACATTCACATTGTGCAAACATCACCATTTATCTCCTGAACTTTTTCATCTTCTTCAACTGAAACTCTGTACCCATTAAACTCTTAACTCACAGCCCCCAGACCTCCATTTTCCTTTCTGTCTATATGAATTTGATAAACTGCCTAATATAAGTGAAACCATCCAACATTTATCCCTTCGTGTCTAGTTTATTCACTCAGCATAATGCCTTTGGGGTTCATCCATGTTGTAATATTATCAGAATTTCATGCCTTTGTAAGGCAGAATAGTGTTCCATTGTATGGATAGACCACATTGTGTTTATCCATTCATCCGATAGTGGACATTTGGGTTGTTTCCATATGTTGTCTATTGTGAATGATGCTGATCTGAACATGAATGCACAAATACCTAGTCCACTCCCTGCACTCAATTCCTTTGGGGTTGCCATGTATTTTAAAAGCCAATCCAAGGAGAGGGCCTTCCCATCTCACCTTAGGGAACCACATTTCGTTTTTTCAGGGAATGGGGTTGGGAAGGGATAGCACCGCATACTGAGGACAGTGGCTGTGACAGCCCCCACCAGTAAACTTTGCCGCACTTTGCAGATGAAATAATGATACAAGAGAGGAAAAGAAGAGGAATCACAAGGAAGTATGTAATTAAGTGCCAAATGAGTCAAAGAGTTTAAAAAAATTAATTAGGAGTTCAAAGAATGGAGAATTTACTGTGAATTAGAAAGTTAGATAAAACTTCATATAAGAGATGGAATATAAACTGAGTCTTCAAGATAGAGTAAGAATCAGGTAGAGAGAAGGAAAGGGATTTCCTTGTTGGTCCAGTGTCTAAGACTCTCTGCTCCTGATGCTGGGGGCCCGGGTTTGATCCCTGGTCAGGTAATTAGATCCCACATGCCGCAACTAAAGATCCCACAGGCCATAACAAAGATCAAAACTCCTGCACACCACAACTAAGACCCAGAGTCAAATAAATACACACATAAATAAAAAGAAAGCAGGTGGGGCAGTCATTCCAGAGGCTGTAGCAGCTGTGTACAGTCACGCAGATCACCCAGAGGGCCTCAAGGGGGTTGAAATCCAACTTGCTCTCTGCCCACCAAGCCTCACCCATCAAGGCTTTGTTCCACAGAAAGGGGCACCTTTGCTGATTGGTTCAGAGGCTCCCAGGGCTAATGGGGCCCTGTTCTGAGAGGGAGCTGGGGGAAAGGTGCAGGACAAGTAAATTTAAGAAGGGAGTGGTTTCGGTGATCAGCTTGAAATGTATAGAAATAGCAAATCACTGTCTTGTGTACCAGGAACTAACATAGTGTTGTAACTCAATTATACTTCAAAACCAAATTCAATCGCTTCTAGGCCTTTTGGCTAAGATCAAGTGCAAAACCAAATTCAGAGGAAAAGAGGATAGATGTGTGGTTACCACATGGACAGAGGAGCCTGGCAGGCTACAGTCCATGGGGTAGCGAAGAGTCAGACAGGACTGAGCGCTAAGCACAGAACACAGCGTTGGGGAGGCGAAGGGTTTGGGGGAGGGAAGGCTGGATTAAGGCAGTCAAAGGTACGAACTTCCAGTCATAAGGTAGATAAGTACTAGGAATGTAGCCTATTACATGTTAAATAGAATTAACACCATTGTATGCTATATATAAACATTGTTAGAGTAAATCTTGAGTTCTCATCACAAGAAAACATTTTTTTGTTCCTTTAATTTTGTACCTATCTGGGATGATGGATGTTCAGTAAATTATTGTGCTCATCACTTTGTGATATATGTAAATCAGATCATTATGTTGTACACAAACTTACACACTGCTTATGTCAATTATATCACAATAAAACTGGAAGAAAAAGTAAAATTTATTAATCCTGTAAAAAAAAAAGTGGGGAGAGGGGATAATTGATGCTTTCAAATTATGGTGCTGGAGAAAACTCGTGAGAGTCCCCTGGAATGCAAGGAGATCAAACTGGTGAATCCTAAAGGAAATCAACCCTGAATATTCATTGGAAGGACTGATGCTGAAGCTTGAAGCTCCAGTATTTTGGCCACCTGATGCAAAGAACTGACTCATTGGAAAAGACCCTGATGCTGAGAAAGATTGAAGGTAGGAGGAACAGGGGAAGACAGAGGATGAGATGGTTGGATGGCATCACCGACTCAATGGAGATGAGTTTGAGCAGGCTCTGGGAGTTGGTGATGGACAGGGAAGCCCGGCATGCTGCAGTCGATGGGGTCGCAAAGAGTCAGACACGACTGAGTGACTGAATAGCAACCAAAGTCATAAGCCTTTTCAGGGGGCCAGGGAATAGACTAGAATTGTGGAGACACAAGCCTTAGAGGCAAATCCCATTAGAGCTCCCAGGCAGGGCTCTGAATGCTGTGGTGACCTCTGACTTCTCAGGAAATTCTAAAATATGTTGGTGGAAAATCCAAGCCCTTGTGGGTCCCCTCACAGAGAAGCTTCAGTTATGGCTGCTGAGGAGAAAAGAGCAGCAGAGACTCGGGGACCAGAAATAACTCCCCAAACACACAAATACATCAAGAAATACCTCTCTTTCCTTCACACACTCACCACATCTTAGAGTCAGAGTTTTATTTGTTTGTTTACTTATGATGGACTGTCTCACTGACCAGAGTCCCAGTGCCACAGGTAAGGGTGTCCTTCCCTCATTTATCATATCCCAGCACCCAGTCAGTGCCTGGCAGACAGTAGGCATTCAACAACCATTTTTTTGATTGATTAATGAATGAATGAGCTAATGAATGAATGAGCCGAACTAATGAATGAATGAGCCACACGAATGAATGAAAGAAAAACTGCTGAGACATTTGACGATAAGAAGATACTTAGGCAAATTATGGCAAATGTCAACCACAGGTTTAGCCATGTAGGATAAACATTATCCTGGTGATGTAACATCAAGCAACCTGGTGCAAGCCTGGTAATCACAATGCTTAAAGACTGTTCCGAGTAAACAGGGCCCGCAAGAAGCTAGAGACAAGTGAGAACAGCTGTGATGCTGGAGTCATGAGATCTTGGTTGAAATTTTCCTCTCAGTTTTGGCAAACTCTATCCACCTGGAGGCTCTTCCTACCCCTGGTTCCGGAAATTCATCCCATTTCTAGAGGTTTCTGCTGTGAATCAGAAAGGCAGGCTAAGTTTTCCATGGTAACCTAGTATTACTGAGAAACCTCTCTGGCCTGAGCACTGTACTAAGCATTTTGCATATATTGTATCATTTAAGCTTCACAGCAGCCCTGGGATAAGTCCCCTTATTCAGCATATTTTACAGATGGTGAAGGAAATTGCTGCCCAGAGAAGTTATTTGCCTAAGTCACACAGCTCGTAAAGGCAAAGATACGATTCAAACTCAGGATTATCTGATACTTAAACCCAGCTCCCAAACCCACACTAACCCCCACACCAAGCCTTTGTTCACAAAACATAAGCCACATATGTTTAAACATAACTGCGCCCATATATATGTACATGTATTTATACTTTATATATATATACACACACACGCTTCCCAGGTGGTGCTAGTGGTAAAGAACCTGCCTGTCAATGCAGGAGACATGAAGAAATGCAGGTTTGATCCCTGGGTTGAGACAATTCCCTGGAGGAGGGCATGGCAACCCACTCCAGTATTCTTTCCTGGAGAGTCCCATGGACAGAGGAGCCTGGTGGGCTATGGTCCACAGGGTCACAAAGAGACACAACTAAAGCAACTTAGCACACAGTGCATGCACACATACACACACATACACACACACACACTAATCCTCAGTGTATGTGGATTACATGAAAATTACATGCAGAGAAAATCTCTGGATTCAAAGATGTCAGTATCTTAGACAATATATATAAAATCCACAAAAGACTTGTATCTCGAAAATATAAAGAATTCTTTATATAACAAAGAGATGATCAAAAACAGGAAAAGACACGGATAGTCATTCACAAAAGAAGATATCCAAATAGCCAATGAACATAAAGAGTTGAGACACTTCGTGCATCAGCAGGGAATTGATCATTTGAGCCACAATGGGTAAGTGGAAAAGACTGACAACGCCAGCACATCCTTTGGCAAAAGAAGCTGGCCATAAAGCAGTATTTTTATTTTTACATAAATTTCCAGAACTTTGTGATGCTGAAAGTCAGCTTAGTTGCTACAGTTGGGAAGGAGGTTGGTGGATGTGGTTGGAAAGGGATAAAAAGAGACTTCTAAGATTCTGGTATTGCTCCATTTCTGGACCTAGTGATGGTCTCACTGATATTTTCACTTTGTGTTATAATTCATCAACTTGTATGAGTTGGGCTTTTCTGTAGGTTATGTATATTTCAATAAAAAGTTGGGATAACAAATTTTAAAAAAAGATGTCAGTGTCTTAATAGTGGTTACTCTGAGCAATAGAACTAGGGGAGACTGTTTCCCTCTTGATTAAACTTTTGTATATTTTCCCAGTTTTCTACAATGACAATGCTTTGTTTTGGTAACTGGAAAATGTAATCCTTAAATAAAAATTCCTTGATGATTGTTCTATCGCTTTTATAGCAAGTCCGTTTCCGAGGAGAGAGGCAGGAAGGGATAGTTCAGGGGACAGAAGTGTGAGTAGCATTTACTTCCATTGGTGGTTTCTGCCCTGTCGGTATCTGAGGCTGCCACCAGGTGGCGCCTGAGGTCCGGTTTTTGAAGAGGCTGAGGAGGAAGAGGGGCAGAGAAGATCCCCTAGCAACAAGCATCTGAATCAAATCCAACAGCCCCACCATCACCACCACCCCTCCACCCCCACCCCGGCCGGCCTCTACTTGCAAACACCCACTTTTGCACCTCTAGGCTTTTGCCAATGTTGCTCGCTCTGCCTGATGCATCCTCCCAACGG